CTTTGGAATATGGCAGCTGCGGGTTTAATCCCGAACGGTAAACGGTTAAGCTTGAGAGTTCAATATGCGTACTCCATGAATACAACAATTGTGAAGGTTCGTCTAGTACAAATTGGTTATACGCGTTGGACATATCCAATTTTGTAAATAACTCTCCTCGCTGTAAGGACGCGAAGATTTCTTCAATGCGAGGAAGAGGATATTTTACATCAATTAGATACTTGTTGAGAGTGACTTTATAGTCAGCGCATATTCGCAGGTCACCGTTCGGCTTCAGAATTGGGACCAACGGTGTGCCCCACTCGGAATGATCTATTAACTCAAGGAGCCCTTTCTTAATTAAGTCACGCAATTTGGCTTCTACCTTATCTTTCCAAGCGAGCGGTAGTGGGCGCGGTTTAAAAAAAATCGGTTTGCATCCTCCCTTAATGACAATGATACTTTACTAACATTGGAAGGTCTCTGATACCAGCGTACAGGGGGCACCAGTGTCGCAGGCTGCCCTAATCTCAACGCCGTCAATAGCAACAGGAAGAGAATAAACAATGTTCGGCCTTTTATCAGTTATACTAAAAATAGAGTAATCAGAAACGTCATTATTTTCTTTCGCATAGTTGTGTGAAGCGTTAGCATCTAAAGCATTTGATACATAATTCAATTGTACTTTCATGCGACAAATCGACGCTAGATGTCCAATTTTACCACATGTGTGGCACTTGATCTTCTCGAATCTACATTTACCCGATTTGTGGTTCCGCCATCCACAATGACCGCAGGCATTTCGCGAGTTTTGATTCTTGTTGTAGTTGTTGTTGCTGTCGCTGCCTACATTGTTGCGAGTTTTTCTGCCTTTCACAAAATTTACGTTGTAGTCGTTGTTGCTTTCAGGCTTAGCTGCAATTTTACTTTCAAGTATCATTGCTTTTCTCAACGCATCTTCACACGAGATTTTCTCGTCCTCCTCACACAGCCTTTCATAAATTTTTAATTTCGCTCCGACTATGAACTGGTTTAGCGTGAACGCATTTAGATTTTCACCAAACCTACAATTTAATGCAAGTTTCTTTACACGGGTGTATCATTCGGCAGCCGTTTCATTTTCCAGTTGTTCAGACGAATGAAACTTCTTGCGTTCCTGGAAAACAATTACAGGTGGAGTGTAATATGTATCCAGAACTTTACATAATTCTTTGTAGGTTTTTTGCATTGGAGACTGTGGGCTGCATAGACTGTGAAGCACACTGTATGCTGCAGCACCCACGGTTTTTAATAATATATTTTTCTTGGCATTGTCTTCTGTGCAAATTAATTCCATCAGATGAATCTCCAGCTTTTCCCTCCATATTACCCACGTTTCCATGTTGGGCTGGAACTGCGGTACCATAAGCATGGTCATGTTGGGAGAATTATTCGTTATTTCCGTCATTTAGCTCAAAATTTTATTGTAAATACAATCTTTGACTTTTCTCGTCGCCAAAGTAATGTTCTCCAATAGAGAACTCGAAGATGAGGGAAACACGTTTTGATGACTTGCTGATTTCTAATGTCTTTTTAGTTTTATTTTGTCGATAATGTAATGATGATGTGTTTATAAAAGTATGCAATATAAAGTGTGTAATATAAAGTGTGTTCGGTATAATAAGTAATATAATACGCATATGTGTTAGGTGTAATATGTGCATGCAATATAATGCATACTTCACAGCAAGTACACTCTAAGGGCCGTTTGCACCATGTCTAGTTAATTCTAACTCCCAGTTAAACATCTTTATCGACGTTATCGACACCCATCATATAACATGTGCTCGATAAAGCAGTTGACGTGCTTAACTGAAGGATGTACCTCCAGTTAGCGTTAAGTAGACATGGTGCAAACGGCCCTAATAAGAGCATATAAAACTTCTACTGAAAAGTATATATTTTTCAACAATAATCTGTATAAATATACGTATAGGTTGTTCAGTATTTGATTTTGAACTTGAGAT